AGGAAGAGGAAGAAGAGGGAAAGGGACAGGAGCAAGAGGAGGAGGTAAAAGAAGAGAAGAAGAGGAAGAAGAAAAAGAGGAAGAAGAGGAGGAGGAAGAAGAAGGCGGAAAAGGAAGAGAAAGGAGGAAAAGGAAGAAGAAGAGGAGGAGGAGGAAGAAGGAGGAGGAGGAGGAGGTAAAAGAGAAGGAAGAAGAAAAAGGAGGAGGAGGAGGAGGAGGAGAATAGTAGAAAGAGGAAGAAGAAAAAGAGGAACGGAAAGAAGAGGAGGAGGAGGAGAATAGTAGAAAGAGGAAGAAGAAAAAGAGGAACGGAAAGAAGAGGAGGAGGAGGAGGAACAAAGAGAAGAGGAGAGAAAAAAGAAGAGGAAGAAGAGGAGGAGAAAGGAGAAAGGAGGAGGTCAGTGGGGCGTCCATCTCTTCCTTGCTGCCTGATGGGTGTGGGAGTCCTACCTGGGCACCCATCATCCCTGGGGGGCTAAGGCTGGGTCAGGAGCCAAGGACGACCCCCCTCCAGCCCCGATCCTGGCACTTCCTCCTCTGGGGCCGAAATTTGCCATCTCCTTCCTCTGAAACAGAGTCTCCAGCACCTGGTCTTCGTTGGCGGTCTCCCATCCAAGGTCTATCCAGGGCTGACCCTGCTTAGCTTCCAAAAACAGACAGCATCTGGTGATTGTGTGTGTCTTGGCCTTCAAGTTAAGGGAACCTCATGAATTTCATAGGTTTTTTTTAGCCAAGGAATCCTCAGAAGTGCTTTGGCAAATTCCTTCCTCTGAAATAGAGCCTCCAACACCTGGTATCCAATGCCAGCCTCCCATCCAAGCACTATCCAGGACTGACCCTGCTTAGCATTCACAAACAGCCAGGATCTAGTGCCTATAGAGTATTTAGGCCTGCCTGAAATAGGGCTTTCTTAGATCAAGAATCCTCAGAGGTGCTTTCACAATTTCCTTCCACCGAAATATCGCCTGGCATTCCTTTGTGGACAAATGGTAAGACTTGGCTCCAAGTCCTAAGCAGGGCCAAGCCACCTTTTGCTTCCAAGATCAAGAGGGACCTGCTGCCCCTAAATCTGAGGAAGGGTCATCCCCCCTCCTCCTTAACTTAAGTACTAGGAGTCCTAGTAGACCACAAGTTGAACATGAGCCAACAGTGTGATGCGGCAGCTGAAAAGGCCAATGCGATTCTAGGCTGCATCAATAGAAGACTTTCCCTTGGAGAGTGGTGGAGTCTCCTTCCTTGGAGGCCTTTAAACAGAGACCTCAGAGATGGCCATCTGTCATGGAGGGCTTTGATTGAGAGTTCCTGCATGGCAGGAGAAGGGGGTTGGACTGGATGACCCTTGGGGTCCCTTCCAACTCTATGGTGCTATGATTCTCCTCCAGTCCCCTGAAGCTGCAGGAATCCATCCATAGCTGGGGAATGACCTGAATTTAAAAGAGCATTTAAAGACCAGTCTCTTCTGGCAGGCAAATCCAGAGGATTTTTAAATTGTGAACTTTAAATGAGGAATATTTAAATGTGGCTTCTTTTAAT